TCATCAACTCATATCAGACCTAATGAATGGTAAATTTGGAGGTGCTAAATTTTGGTAATTGGTGGATTTTAATTTGACAAATTTGTGGCCACCTGCCATTGAGCATGCATATAATGACTCAAAATGGTGGGTTTTTATTTTGGCAAATAGCTATCAAAACGCCAAATTCGCCAAATTTAATCCCCTCCAAAATTAACCGCTATATGGTATATGGCCTATAATGATGTGGCTATAAGGATACTAATATAAATAATATTTGTTGGGATACGGCCACATACATGTAAATCAGTACATGTATGCGGTATGGGTGGTCAGTTTACACAAGCATAAAACCAAGGTGAGGATAACAAATTTCACAGATTTTGTGGATTTTTATTAAATACTGCGAAGTCAATTTAATAATACCATACAAGATGGCTAAATAGCTCAGGACTTCTGTGAAAATTAGTTTCATGAACCTCTGGATACAGGTCATTTGCAAAAATTTTTATCCCAAAAAAAGACCTCTCTTGCTTGACCTTTTTTGATGAGTGGCTTCATCATAATATGTATACTTAATTTCTCATTATAGGAGTTGCCTTTGGAATATAGCTGTAACTTCTGAATCTTGTTCCTTTTGTGCGGAAAAAATTTCCAGACATGAAATGAGCTCAGTAAGACAATGACCAGACAATAATAAATTATAGACTGTTAATTTTAACTATTTTAATTTGTAGATTTTGTCTGATGAAGAACTTTTTAATAAAGATCTACCGTATCGTATCTATTGCAGCACTACTAATTGTTTTGGCTCATGCTTCTATAAAAACCAAGTAATACCAATGTAGTTTCTATGAAATTATGTAATAGTGGCTGATAGCTAACAGACTAGAGGCCTTTTCACACTGAAACGCATCACTTTACATCAATCTACCTCCAGAAGTAAAATGAGAATGATATATATTGATGCAAAAATCACTCTAATTTGAATACCACATGGTATGATTAATGTTCATCAATGTGTACCATAAGTGTAGAAATTTTCAAGGTAATAAATTTTGTGGTTTTGTACTAGTTGCTTTATTTTGTAAATTTTGCGTGGACAAAATTTTGCAGATAATCATAAGAAAGTGTTGTCAGTGAGGTCACGTGATGTAATAATTATTGCACGTGGACTCTCCTCATTTTCTACTTTGCTTCTCTGGATCTTTAGCAACACCAGCTGCTTTTAATTTCTCCTCAGGTTTTTTCTTTTTTCACTATCTCGTTCTCATTTTGTCCACAGGCTTAAAGAACTTGTACAGTGCCATTTTTATGACTATAATTGGATGTTTGGGCGTTCCATTCATAAAGAGTTAAAGTAACAATTTTTGCTGTTAGCTGGTACCTGCAAAAAAGTGAAAATTAATGCACCTTGAAATTTCTACACTTACGGTATTACTTTTATCAGTGTGAAAAGGCCTTAGGAATAATAGTATTCCTATTTAATTACTCAAATTAAAGCACTGCACACTTCCTGCCTTTAGTTTAAAATTGAAGTGCTTTTCAAATCATTACTTACAAATTTAATAGGATTTATGCAATTAAGTTTATTTCTTGATTTATTTATTTGTCCACTGTTGCATAGGGGGACTTTAATTGCTATTCCTGTGGTCAT